CTCTCTTAGCACTTCTGCGAACTAGGCACCATACATGCTCTGCACTACACGCTGCACACTCGCTGTTTCATAAACGCACACTACACCACGAAGCTACAAACTACGCTGCGTTGTATGTAGTGTAGCACACTACGCACTGTTACACGCTACATGCTGCAAGCTACACACACACACACGCACTACACTACACTACACTACACTACACTACACTACACTACACTACACTACACTACACTACACTACACTACACTACACTACACTACACTACACTACACTACACTACACTACACTACACTACACTACACTACACTACACTACACTACACTACACTACACTACACTACACTACACTACACTACACACAGACAGACAGACAGACAGACAGACAGACAGACAGAGACAGACAGACAGAGACAGACAGAGACAGACAGAGACAGACAGAGACAGACAGACAGACAGACAGACAGACAGACAGACGCCCAACACTCCCACAGAAACCCCTGCACACCCGCACACCCATCCGCACCCGCACTAGCACCCACATTTGCACGCATGCATGTGCACACGTGCACCCATGCACGGCACGGTGCAGAGTTCCCAGACAGAGAATCTGACAATGCGATTGTGCCACCCCAAGGCCCAGCGGCGCGCAGACAAAAAGAATGCGCGCATCTTGCGCCATGGTTGTGGGAATTAGGGCTGCCACTCTTTACCCAGGGAGCCCCAGCCCTCCTTTCAAGTGACAACATGGTCATAGGAATTCAGCCCTTTGAGCCACTAGTCATTTCCCACAACCGTGCCTTGCACTTGCTCGTTTCCCTCCCCCTCTTAGTGTGCGGGAGAGGGGCGACCCCCAAGAAAGAGATTGTTTTGAATGTGGTGGGGGCACGTTCTTCCCAGAGGTTGGGGAGGGATCTTTGAAGCGTTTCAGGCCTAGGGCCACACTCACGAGGAGTTGGGCAGCCGGGCATGTCACGGCCATGGCTTCTGCTGACGGTGCTTGGGTGTTTTAGGCCCACCTTCAAATTCTGCGGGCAGTCATGGCAATGGGGGGTGGAAATGGGGCAAATCATATGGGCGGCCAAACTGTGGGCGGACACGTTTCTGCAGTGCCGTGCATTCCAACTCAGGGTTTTGTTTTGTTGATCCACGGTAGTACACAGATTCAATGGGGTCGATTGATTGTCCCTTGGTTTGCTTGTGAAGCGAGCATGATTGGCCAGGTGCGATCTTTTAGCACCATGCGCAGGGCTCCAAGCGCGGACCGGCAATCGGGCAGCTAGTAGCCATGGCTATTGCGCGAGGTAAAGCGGCACGAACCTCAGCAACTTGAGAGGGATGTGGGGTGCAAGCAGCCAGGAAATCGCAAGGGCATGTACTTTTGTTGCATAATTCTTCCATACCCTGACATTTGGCATTTGAGTAACTCCACAAGGGGTGGAAGCTGTCCGTTTTGTGGGAGGAAGACCTCGTTTGTTTCGGGGAGCGGCCCGAGAGCCATGCTTGCAAAAGATCGGCTGGCACGTCATGCACGACGTTCGTGGCCGTTTGCGAAAGCGCGATGGCTGGAAACAACCAGCTCTGAGTGGATTGATCACCCAGTATCAAGCATCCAAGGGTATCCAGGCGTAGTTTAGCAAAGCCTCCTAATAGCGCGTGCTTGCCCTTGACGCAGCCGGCCATGATGGAAGAGGCTGGGTTGCTCCTGGGGCCGGTTTGAATTTGATGAATTTGAATTATGGCTTGCTCCTGTTGCTCCTGTTGCTCCTAGGTTCCACCCACTGCCAGTATGAATTTGACAAAAAACACCCTCAACACCCTATAGATACCGCCATTTGTATGACTTTGACTGCGGAATTCCCTCAGATGGACCGAAGATCTATGTGGCCATGGGTCAAAACCCAAATCGTACCCCCAGAGAACATCCCAATCCCCACTAAAATAGGTTCTAAAATGGGTGGTGAATTCACCTATCCCAAAAAAAAAGAACCACGATGAACCATGCAGATTATGTCCACCGGGTCCCTGAAACCACCTGAGAGGCTTTGTGGCAAGTGGCCCCGGATGCCGGAGTTGTGGCATCGGCCAGCCTGGTGGGGGGCTCCTTGTCGCGGCTGCTCGCCACACTCGGCGCCTCGGCGCGTTTTTGGCAGAGCCGAGTCGAGAGCCTCGATCTGGAACCGATCTGAAGCTGATTTTGGGGCTGGGGTTTGTCAAGTGACCCCACCTCCAAAAAGAAGAACACAAGGGGGCAAATGGGAGAAAATGGAAGGGTCAATCGGGCCGCCCAAAGAAAGATACCCCGCCCCAATGGAAAAAGGGCTCTGGGCCAAAATGGCAGGGTCACTTGGACTGGGGAAGCCCCACGAAAGATAAAACGGAGGGGCTTCGGCTCAATGTTTGTTGGCCTGCCACATGATGAATTTCGATCCGGCATTGTATGGGCCCTTCGTATAGGCCCCCAATCTCTCCTAAATTCCGTACCCCCTAAATATGCGGGTTTCTAAAAGTTGGAATTCACTAAAATGGTTGGTTTCCGTTTGGCGTCCCTTTAAAGTTCTGTTGAGTACCCACTCACAGGTCCACCATGTTGAAAAACTCCCAAATTTAATCTATGCCCGTCCTATGAAAAACGGCGTGCTCCCCCGCAAATGTGGTCTGAAACCCCACTAAACGGGGACACCCCCCAATCAAAATCAACGTGAGGTTCTGCTTAATCCGGGCAAACAGTTTGATTGTGCTCGCTAGTTGTCTCTTGATCTCCACTTGCCACTGTCTGGTCATTCCTTTGCCTTGTTGGCCACTTTTGTCACGCTCCAGGCTAACATGGAATAGCTTGCTCCACTTCCTCCCTCTTGACATAAGAGGCGCCTCCAACAGGCATCGGGCAGCGTTCCTGCTCTTTCTTCTTCAAGCTTCTTAAGCTGACCATTTCTTTTCGGAGGGTCCTTGGTCCGTGACAGCTGCTTGCAAGCTCGGTTGTTTGGAAATCGGGCAATCTAATACTTGCTGAAGCCAGGATGTCACAGGATGTTACTATCCCTTTTCTGAATGCGAGGCGGCCATGAGGATTAGAACCAGATCGGAGTTCTTAAACTCAAGGCCCCCCCTACACCGCGCAAGCTTTGTTGGGGGGGGGGGGGGGGGGTTGGCATTTTGCTCACCTGGCAAGCCAACCTGAAAATGCCCGGTGGAACATGGAAACTGGGAATCCCAAAGGGGGGAAACAAAGGGAAATGCTTTCCCTTAGCCATGTTTTCCAGCTTGCCCCACTTTGTCTGCGGAAGTCTTCCCTTCGTTTGGGCCCCCTTGGGCGGTCAGGCAAGGGGTAGGGGACAGTCTCAGCCAGAAAAGGGTGCGGACGTCAGCCTGAATTCACTGACCATTGGACACGGGTGATGTGCTTGCATACGGCAGGGGCACCCGGATAAAACCGTATTTGGCCCAGTTCCTTGGGGAACTCTACAAGAAATCCGCTGGGTGCATTCCATGCCCTGCTATGAGTTGATGTTTTTTTGTAGCCCGCCATCTCTAAGGGGGGGGGGTGAGTAGTTGAGAGCGCCAGGGTTCCCCAAAGTTCCCCTGCAGTTCCTTCTACTGTAGGGTTCTTTTTGGCTTCTTTTTGGAATTCTTTTTGGGGTTCCTCAGGGGGTTCCCTAACATCTGTAGGGTTCCAGGGTTCTTGAGGGTGCTTCCCCTCGTCCCGCTTGCCGGGTTCCAGGCGGCGCGGGGGGCTCCATGGCCCTGGGCGCCGCCTCGGCGGCCACGGGGGCCCTGGCGGCCAAGGCCTTCTCCGAGCGCACGGAGCAGCAGGCGGTGGAGCTGCGGCTGCTGGAGGTCAAGCGCCCCTTGGCGCGCCTCACGCTCGAGCGATCGGACAGTGATCGGACACGGTGGGAGCTCGAGCTTGGGGAGGGGAGGGAGGTGTCCAAAAATGTGGTGGCGTTTTAAGTCGGAAGCGCTGGGGAGCTGCCCCTTGGCTCGAGAGCGATCGGGAGCGAGCGCGAGAGGGAGCGGATTCGGAGAGGAGGAGGAGGAGGAGGAGGAGGGGGAGGAAGGGAGGAAGGGAGGAAGGGAGGAAGGGAGGAAGGGAGCGGGAGGGAGGTATCCAGATTTGTTGTGGCGTTTTATAGTAGGGAGCATCAGGGGAGCTGCCTGTTCTGGAAGGAGAGGGTAGGGTGTTGTCGCCTTTTTTGCAGATACTCTGCTCCGTGGTGAGAGCGGGGTGGAGAACCGAAGACATTTTGGGGTACCCCCCAAAAGTTGAGATCCGAATCGACCGGATTCTTTAGCTTCAAACCATGCTGGTTTTACCATTTTTGGTGTGGCGCCAACAGATGATCACCTGTTATTTCTGTGGCAAGGGCCCAATTTTGATGAAACTCCTTGGGTCAACACTTGTGGTTTTATGGACCCCCCTAAAGCTTGGCACAGTTTGAGCTGGGTCACTCACCTGGGGGCCGGTGATTTGGAGGACAGATGCGTCAAGTTGCTTGAAAGCCGGGAGAGCCAATTGTGACTGAAGTAGTCATGCGCGCTTTTCCTTGGTATGGAAAGAAGTACCCTCTCTCCAACAAACATAGGATCTGTGGGAGGGTACCTGGAAGATGATCTTCCTGTTTGGGGGTGTGTCAGCTGCCATGTTAGTGGGAGGGCGGGTAGTTGATCACATAGTTTTGTCATGGTTTGTGTCTTTGAAGTTTGAAATCATTTTGCTTGGCTGCATAGTTTTGCCATGGTTTTGTTATGGTTTCCTTGGCCACTGAATGACAGGGGCAACCGAACCCCTTCAATCCGCCGGAAGGTTTATTTTCCTTTTGGTGCAGTCTCCTTTTGGTGCCATGTGCCATGCGTTTTTGGGGAACCACTGGGACCCAGTACTCCCTGCCCCATGTTATCCCCATCCGTCAAACCTCCATTTACTTGCTGCTTGTTTATGGTTAACATTTTCCCTGTTGGTTTGAAAGGGAACCAATCACTCAGCAGGTGTCCCTTCCTTTTGGTGCTCCTTTTGGTGCATTTTGGTGCCAGGTATTTTTGGCTGGTACCAGCCAGACCGTTTTGCTCGCTCTCGGCCCCAAGCTCCAAGCTCTCGGTCCGCAAGGCCACGCACCGCAGAGCTGCCCCATCTCGCTGGAGCCGCTCTCGGCGGCGCGGCAGATGCTGGAAGCGGTGGAGTGGCGCCGTGGAGAACGAACGAACGGACGAAAACGGCGAGAGATGAGTTGCAGAGTGGGCGTGGTACCCTCCCAACTGACGTGGAAGTGCACAAAGGCCCTTCCAAAAGTAGTCTTTCTACAGGGGTCTGTGCACTTCCATGTTAGCTGGTGGGAGGGTAAGGTACTTACCTCCCGACTTTCTGGACTTTGAACTTTTTGGGAAGACAATTTTGGTGGAAAAAAGACGAGTTGGACTTTGTGTTGGCCAATCCGCTCAGGAAGTGTGGGTACTGTGGGTGGTTACGAAATCCATTTCGCGCCACCGTTTAGCAACCCAACGGGATGATTCGATGCCCCTGTATATACCAACCAACAATGGTTTCAACCACGGTTTCAAAGTGGTGCGAACGGATTGAGTTTAACCACAGTAGGACCTGGCGGGCTTTGTTCTTGGGGTGGATGAATGAGCAGGTTGCCTGCCAGGCAAAGTGTGTGTTAAGATAGGGTGCTGCGTAGCACGCACGCAATGCCCCATAGTTGTGGAAGTTAGCCGGCAGGCGTGACGCAATCACTTGCAACACTCAATGGCGCTTTGGGCACAATGTGACAACAGGGGGTTTGGCCCCCCCCAAAATGGGGCGGTTTTCTCTTTGGGTTCCCTTTAGGTTCACCCAACAAAGGGTGTCGATCCAAGCCTCACCAACTTCGGGTGTCGGCTTTTTGGAGGGCACGGGAGGCATTTTTGTTTTTGTTTGAGGTTGGGGGTTCCCCAGTTGCAGAATTGCCCCACACGGCTCACGAAAGGACTGCCAGGCCGAAGCTTCCCCTGCCCGAGGGGTTGGTTTGGGCGTGCCTCACCCCGGGAGAAGCAGGTGCGACCTACGAGCTATTTGGGCGCGCAAATGCCCCCCCCCCCATAGCACACAGGGTCGTGGACTTGGTAAGTTAAGTTGGTACCCTTCTTGGGGTTGCGTCATTTTGTTGGAATTGGCACTGTGAGGGTGCCAGGTGTCACGAAACGCTCCCCTTCCCCTCGTTTCCCGAAATAAGGACCCCGTTTCCCGAAATAAGGACCCCGAGAATTCCCTATTGCGAAGGAAGCTAGGGGGACATCCACTACACCAGGGTCTGTCCTTTTTAGAGGTGACCCCGCAAAATTTCGGCTTTCTTTTTGGTCTTTCCCGCAAAACCGATCCAAAACAAAGGTACCAACACAAGAAAGGCGCGCCCATGTTGACAAGGGCAGCAGTTGAATCCATGAGGTGCCTGGCAAAAGAGGAGCGCCGCGCGCACAGCTTCCCCTTGTCCGCCCTTTGCCTCAGCCGGGAGGACGGGCAGCGGTTGCGATTTGTCCACCGGCGAATGTAGGCGCCATAGATTCGAATAAACAAAAGCACCTCTTCACTTGGGGTGTGTAGTTAGGTGGCAACTCATTCCAATCACGAGCTTTCAGCATGGAGAATGCAGCACAGTTTGTTTGCGTTCGGCCAAGTGAAGTTGTGAGCCATGCGGGCTACAACCCGCTGGGTTTGCTCCACTTGTGGCTATGTGCGTCATGTGGCAAAGTGGGTCATGACCTGGGAACCAGGGGGCGAAGAAGCTGCCGGCGGAGAAGAAGGCGACGGAGAAGGAGTACCGCAAGCATTTGAACAAGCTCCGGAACTTTGTGCCCGTGCCGAAGCAAAGCAAGGCCCGAGGGAGTGAAACAACGGGTATTGGTGCCAAAAAGAACGAGGGGGGTGGGCGTTGGGACGGGGTTGGGACGGGGTTGGTTGCAAATATTGTTAAATATACCACTCAAACTGGTACACAAAAAAGGGGTGGGGGGGGGGGGGAGTACAACCAGACCCTGGTGGATTCTGGTAGTGGTAACCACTGAAATGGAGGCAAAGGAGGTTGCTGAAACATGGGGTCTTTGAACCATGGCTTCAAATAGCACCACACACCACAGGCCACCAGTCCCCCCCGGGAAGACCAATTCTTGGGTGCTGGTTGGCCTAGATTTCATTTGCCGGTGCATCGGCTCGTGGAAAGCCAGCGCTCAGCAAGAGAGTGTGTCAAAGGTTCATGCAAATGGCGAGTTAGGACGGCTGGGCCATTATGACTGTTTTGAAGAGCTGCCAAAAGTCAGCAACTAACATCTTGCGCATATAAGTTAACTTTTTTAAGTCCCGTATCTTAGCCCGTACCCTTGGTATGGGCGTTTCCCCGGTAACCTCGGACGTCTCCGCGGTGACTTTGACGACTTGAATCCAAAAGCCCCATAGACCGCATAGATTTCACCGATGGTTCTCAATTTAAATGCCTGCAGGGGATACCCTCCGAAAACACAAGCACAGAACTTGCAAAGGGGTTCCTGGAAGACCATGTTCCTTTCAATTAAAGGGGAGCCCTGTGCTGGTTTCAGGCTTGGTTTTTTGGAGGGGCGTTCCGTTGGCCTTTTGCCCCTGAGCAACCCAGCAAATGGAGCAGCACAGCCCAACTGACCGGAGGTTTCCCAAAATTGCGGACCCCCTTTGCCAGGGAAACCGAGCGGATGCTGACTGGAAGTTCTCAAATTGGCGGACTTTGTTTTGGATGCCTTTGAAACTTTGGCCGTTTCAGGCGTCCATAATTGTGGGAAACGCCCACTAGGTCCCCCAGCTAGGTGCCCTTTCTCACCCCTTTTTTGGTTGGGAGGGTTCCCCTGCTAAAATAGACAAAACCGAAAACCCCTGCTAAAATAGACAAAACCGAAAACAAGTTGGTACCGAGTTTGTCATCCGTTGATTGGGGGCACGAAATCTGAAGCATCAACCTGTCCATGGGAAACCGCATCTGCGTGCCTCCCACTTGAGGATGCAAGCCGTTTCAGGGGTTCCTAAAGATGAGAAGCACCCAACTCCAGGCCAAGCCTTTGAAGGGGAAGCTGAAGGAGGCGCAAGGCGGGATCGCTGGTATGACGGTGCCTGGCAGCAGCGAGGCCTACGAGCGGCTCTTTAATCCCCAGTGGGGCACCGTGCCTTTACTGTCCTCGGCAACTTGTGTTGTTGTGCTTTGTTTTGCCTTTTTGGCTTCCAGTTCAGTTCCGCTTTTGGGGGATTCATGTCTACACATGTTTTTCTCAGAGGGAACCATGAGTTCCAATGACTTCCGCTTTGGCGTACGTTTCCTCGGTGCCATGTCTAATTGTTTTCCGTGTGCCCAAAAGACACCGTCGGCTCGAGCCATCGGCTCGGCTGTCGGAGCGAACGAGCGAACGAACGCGAGAGCCTGAGGTGCGCAGCAAGCAGGGCATCTGCGCGGCGCTGGCCTATTTGGTGACTCAGTTCCTTCAGCTCAAGCAGATGCCCACGGGCAACCTCCAGGACGGCGCCAGGCGGAGCGATGCGTTTGGGACCCGCGCGGTTTCGGACCCGCTCGGGCCCGGTTGTTTTTTCTTGGTTGGGGGGGGGGTTTGAGCCCCCTCCCCCCGAAAAGAAAGAAAGAAAAGGAACACGATTTGGAATAGGGACGATAGAAATGATGCATCAAAATCTGGATAGATGGAAATAATCATGGTTGAGACCGGCGAAGGAATCACACTCTAGGGGATCTCAGCAAATGTCATATATTTTGAGGTGACCAAATATGGATCAGGGTTGGGCCATGTTACCCCGAGGGCAGGTCCCGTTTCGGCCCAAGTATTTTTTTTCATTATTTTTTGGGGAGGGAGGGGAGTCCATGCTATTACCCGCTTTTAGGTACTCATTGAGACTGGCCGTCTCCTCCTTAGCGCGGCACCACGCCTTCGACGAAGTAGACGAGGCGCCGCAGGCGTTGCAAGCAACACGCCTGCTGCGGCCATCCTTGGCGTCAGCGGAGCTGGACGAGATTGACGAAGAGGACACTGGCTGGTTGCAAAATCAGTTTGATCGCTGGTGATCAGTAAGGAATGTGGGAATCCCAGAGATTCCCTTAAAGGAAACCACCAGTTGGATATAGTTGGATGGTGTATAGGCATAGGTGTCCTTTTTGGTTGTTTTGGTCGAACAATTAGATGGCGATTCCTGTTTTACCTGGTGCTTTAAGCATCTACCAGGGAAACCCATCTACTTCCCCTGGAAGGACACCTATGTGCATAAGGGTCATTCCATTTCTCATGCCCTGCATCTCTCGCAGGTTTCAGCATCCGGCTCCGGGGCCCCGCTCTGCTTAGAATCCTAAAGGATGTCATTGGGCACAACGAGGACCCCTCGAAGGATAGATTTGGGCCGCTAAAAGCTGGAAGAAGAAGCAAACACATAGGTGTACCAACTGGAAGGCGGTTCAAACGTCTGCTTGAATGTTGTTAAACCATGCTGTTGAAGCGGTTCTAAAAGGGGCTGTTTATGACTGGAAGGCTGTTAAAGCCATGTGTCCATCAAGACCCTTGAAATCGCCCCAACTTTCCTCAGGAGCAGAAGCGATGGAAGACCCAGCCAGATCAGGAGCAGGAGTTCTTCGCACAGCAAGGTCTTCAAAGGATACTTCGGTCTTTTCGAAGAAACTTCCATTTAGTTAAGAAGACTTTTGTTTTTGTTTGCTTTTCCCTTGTTGGTTTTAAATGGAATCGATTTCACTACTGGAAATATATGCTGTATATATATGTTCCAGGCTTCCTTGGCCCCCCCCCCCCACCCCCCCCCAATGGTCATGCTCAGTCAAGAAGGTAGCACAGTGTGACCCTACAAGCCCCCCGCCCCCCTGTGGGATGGGTGGGCGGGGGCCATGGTTCTCACCCCCCCCCCCCGCCCCCCTGTGGGAATGGGGGTTGGGGAGAATGGTAGCACAGTGTGACCGCAAAGGTTTCCGCGACCATGGTTCCCACACCGCCCGCTGGGGTCTATAATAGGTAGCAAGCAAAGTGCGTTTGCCACTGGCGCGTTGCAGCGCACTTGGTTAGCACTTGGTTGCGGCGCTGCAAACCACAAACTGCGTTGTGGCATCGCGCAGTGTCAATTGCGACAGCGCTGCAACTTGTCGCGTGCTGCAAAATGAGCAAATCGCATTGCAGCGCAACACACGAACAGCGCCGCAAACGCGCCTGCAATGTCGCGCGCACACTGGAGCAAGCCGCCCCACAAGCCCCCCCCCCTGTGGGGGTGGGGGGGGGGCCAGCGTCCCCCCCCCCCTGGATGGACCCATACCATTTGGGGGGGGGGGGGGGGCTGGGGGCGACGGGCGACGGGAACATATATATATATATATATATATTTGCCTGGGAACTTAAGCAACTGGAAGGGAAGGTCAAGCCATCCCCACCTTGGTCCCTGAAAACAAGGAAATTGGGGGTGAGTTTCTGGAGATCTCCATGCATGGTTCCACTTTCCCTTTAGGGAAGACTGGGAAAATGGAATTGGGGGGAACCCCACTCGCAACCCTCAAAAAGGCCCCCTCGTCTTATCAGGGTCACAGAGCAACTTGGATTTGTGACTTTTGGGGTACCCCTGCCCTCTGGTTTGAAAGAGAAACCAACCAACAGAAGACAGACACACAACCAACCCATCACCCGAGCAAGCAAGCAAGCAACATGTTGGGGCTGTTCCTTATTTGGTGGCAACCCCATTTCAAGTTCCCGACTTTGCGGCACATGCAGGATAGTTCATGCAGGCACTCAGTTTTGGCAGCCTTACCTTAGATGATTCTGTGCTTGCAACTTGTCATGCAAGGAAAGGGAAGCATGCTTGTCAAAAGGTCAGCCTTTCAAACCCAGATTGTTTGTGCCTTTCATCGTGGCCCTCCACGCCATGCGAGGTACATTGCTCGACTTTGTTACTTGACCTTAGCTGATTTCCCTGTTCTGCTTTCAGGGGGTTTGAACCCACATGTGAACCAACAAAGTATGAAGCCCTTGGTTTTCCACCCGACTGGTTGCTCACTGCCGGGGAAGGCAAAGGGCCCACGCGTGCACTCGGTCCCATTGGATAGCCCAAACTCTTAGCTTGGAGTTGCACGTTGCCCTCCTTAAGAGAAGCCACGCTGCCAATAGGTGTTCGCATCTTGTGTAAAATAAGCGCTTGAGGATAGAAAACTGGAGGGTGACCTGTGGCTTGGGCGGAGTTCAGGGCTCATATGCTGGTTCAGAGCCATATGAGTGCGCTCCTCTTCAGCACGAAGGACCCCTTGCGGGTTCTCCACTATAAAAAGGGAACCTGCCATTTGTGCTTGTTTTGCCGGGGAGAAGGTGGGAGAAGGGTGGGGAGAAGGGTGGGGGACCAGGAGGGGTCACCGGCAACCCCCAAAAAACGGACCTGGAGGGGTCACCGGTGGGGCAACCCCCAAAAAAACATATCCGCCGTGGGGTTCGACGTCTCAGGTTCCGCTCGGTGGCCGTGGCCCTGCTCTGCCTCCTCGACGCGGCGCTGAGCTGGCGCCCCTCCGACCCTTTGGGCTGGCTGGGCCAAGCGGAGGACGCGGAGGGGGCGGCCGCTCGGCCGCGGACGGACGTGGCGGGCGGGCCTTGGGTGGTGGGTAGGAAAGGAGGTCCCCCCAGCACTTGGTGCCACCATTTCTCACCTTTTTTTAACTACTAGAGACAAAGGGTACCCTGAATGATTCTAAGGCGTCTACTGGAGGAGCTGGGAAGTCAAAGGCCAAAGGAAATCAGAACCCAAAGGCCTCTTTATGAAACCAAAGGTCGATCTCTCGTTTTGGGCGCAGCTCTTGGGATGCGCAGCTCTTGCAATTTGCGCCGTTTCGCCGGTCCGTTGCAAGTGGCCTGGGCCCTTCAGCTATGCCTCGCAGGAGACTGCAGGGTGTTCTGAGGATGTTGGATGGAATTTCGTTGGAACCCCCCCAAAAAAATAAATCACGTACTTCCCCGTGCCGTTTCAGGGTTCCCCATGTTTTTGCTTTTGGTTTCAATCATCACCTTTTGGCACAGATTAAAGTGAGCTTGCCCCAGGTGATGATTCAATAAGAACTAGTTCCGCGTTCACCCACGGAATTGGATCCTCTCGCTCTCGCTCTCGCTCATGTGGGTTTTCCCATGGGCCGCAAGCAGATCAGTAGATTGGAACCCCCCCATGGACCAACTCCGGTTGATTCATAGGGGGTTGGGGGCCCCTCCGACAGGGATGATGTCCCCACCATACCCAGATATTCAGGGACCCCCATAAACTGGGGTTGCTTAATTGGGGCGTTCCATTACTGTTGGAGCTGATGGCGTCTGCGTCTGCTGCACACCTGCGCTCAGACTGGAGCATTCCACCTCCTCTTTGCCATTCATGAAAATGGGGTCTGGTCTGCATCCAAGTTCTGTTGGGCCCGTTTAGTCCTCATTTCCCATAGTTTCCGTTGGGCCAAGGTCGCAAAAGCAGAACCATCTCTGATTCCATCAGTTGTTCAAAGCTGACCTTTTGACCTTTTGGTTCTCCGATTTCGGTCCATATTTCGTCATGGCCCCAAAAGGCAACTGAGTTCACCCAGTTCCTTTGTGAGTGTTCGCTTCTCAGGTTCTAGCCCGTGAGAAGGGCGTGTGCTCCTTCCCCTGCTTTGCCGGCAAGGCGCGAAGCCAATGAGCGCCAGCTTTTTGCCGCGTATGGGGCTCAGTATGTTCTTTTCGAACAAGACACATGTCCTTTTGAATCAACAACACCCGAACTCTTTCCCCCGAGGTTTGGCTGGGGCAGAGTCCCTGGGTTTCAAGTTTCGAGCGAGGAGGTTACCCCGCAATGAATGCAATTCGGCCCTGGGAGGCGAGCAGTGAAACAGGCTTGGGACTGATGGTCATGCACCCTCCAGCCGGGTATGATACACCAACATACTTAAAGGGACAGGGTACTTAGTGAGGTTATAAGTCACCGTTCAGCAGGCTATAACCAGGCTAACGAACCACTTGCGAGGATACCCTACCCCTTTAAGTAGCGGGCTATTCAGAGAACCATGGCCATGGCTGACTATGAGTGTTATCCTGCGACATTCTCGGGGTTTCTCTTGAGGGGTGTGCTTTTATCGGTTTGCCTGGGTATCCTTTTTGGGCTTTTCCCTGTCAGCTGAAAGGGGAGTGACTTGGAGCAGCTCCAAAGTGAGTTTGGATCCCGGGCACTGGGAGGTGTTCGCGGCGACATCGGATAGGGTGTACGTCCCGGAAGGATCTAAAAAGTTCCCAAGGTTCCGTGGAGCATTTGCCGGATCTGGTTTCAGCGTTCTGGATGTGCGTTTTGTTTCGAAAGCTTGTAGGGGTTGCGTAGAATCAAGAGATCTGTGACTGGCTGGACTAGGTTCCGGAAGGTTGCAACAGGTTCTGGGCCCTGATGGGGATACCCAAAAGGCTGTGTTCAAAAGAAGCACTGGAGTTCGGAGTTGCCTCAAGGTTGGCATCACTTTCTGAGAAAGGAGGGGTCCCAGTCACCGGTGCCCCAAAGATTTTGATCAGATGGTTATGAAGTTTAGTTTGGTCTTCCTTTTGTGGACATCATTTACACGGCTTTCTGCAACCACCAAGCGTTGTGGAGGGAGTTACCCACTGAATTCACATCCGGCCAATCGCGGCCAGGCCCCAACCAGACACCTCGGCTTGCCTTTGTAGACTATCTTGAAACCAAGCGGCAAGCAAATTGGGACTTTTTTGCCCAAGCCAAAGAGCACACTTCGGAAGGAGATTAGTCCCTCTAGGCAGAAACTCAAGCAACCGGGCTCCAAACCAACCCTTGGAGGGCTAGCCAGGTGCGAAAGAGCATGAAGCGCGCCAGCGGTGGGTGCCAACTTAGCTGGCGCCGCTTCGAGGTGCTGGCCAATTTATTGGCCGACTGTCGCTTCCGGGGGCCTTCTCCAAACATATGCAGTAGTATACATATATGTATATAGTATACATTCATGTATATGTACATAATATGTGCATATATATATATATATACATTCATTTATAGATGCACACACACACACACATATATATATATATATGCACACGTTCTACGGTCGTTCGACCAACATGAAGCACAAGCTGAACATATTATGCATTTGTGTGCCCAAGAGGATGTGGGTCCAGGTTTCACGAGGGCGAGGTGACAACCATACACTTTGGAGCGAACACTCGCGGTTCCCAACACTTTCCCAGAGAATCCGGGGGAACAGACAAGCCAATTGTCCCACGGCCATACGACCTCCCAACTTCTTGGCGGCACTTTGGCCGAACTTTGGCCGACTTGCTGGTTCTCCCCCGCAAAAAAAAATAAGAAGAAGAAGAGACCAACATAGCACCATCGAATCATCAAGGGGTTTTGGGTGATGAGGTTAGGGACCCACCTGGAATCCGCGTTTTGGGGACTGACCCATGACCCATGACCTCGGAAGCGCCACCGGCGACGGCGATCTCGTCGGGTCAGGTGCACCTGGACGCCATGCGGAGCAGGGGCCTGCCGGAGCCTTGGCCCTGGATTTGGGTCATCAACGAGGAGGGCTCCATGCTGGTACGGAACCGCACCAAGGCCAATGGAGAAAGAGAGATGTTTGCGCCGCTTGAGATTCGATTCTGTTGTTTTTGGGTTTGTTTTTTTGTTTTTTGTTGTTTCTTGTTGTTTGTTGTTCTTTCTTCTTCGTTTTTTTTTTTTTTTGGGGGGGGGGGCTGCGAAGGAAAACTTGAGTCCATTTTGGGTCGGGTTCTCGTTGGATTTTCCCAGGCTGCCAAAAAATAAACCTGGTCAAGCCTGAGAAACACAATCGTTGGATTTGTCCCCAGCTGCAACAAAAGGGAAGCTGGTCAAGCCCAACCTGATTGGGATTCGGATCTGAGAAACCGACATATTTGTGTAAGAAACGGATGGTTTTATCTCCCCAAGCTGCAACAAGTTGAACTTGGGCCAGGGGTAATAGCTGTCAAGAGTGGGTTAGTCAGCTATTCGCGCGAAGTTGCTCGTTGTTGGCGGGACGGGAGAGGGGGTCCAGTTCTATGTCACTTTAGAGGATGGTTTAGAGGAGGCCTGTGAATTTGCAATCTGGCCTCAGGCAGGTTCCAAGGAGTTCTTCCAAGACACCAAATTCTGCTTCTTTAAAACCTCTCCTCGCGGGACTTGGGGAGACTTTCCTCCTCTTTTTCTTTTTTTCTCTCCCTCTCTCTATCCATCTGGTCGGGGTCGAGGATTCAGGCTTTCATTCTTGACCAGCCATAGCCTGGCAAGCAACCCGTATGACAACACCGAATTCACTTCTCCCTGTGCAATGCCTTCCCGAGAGGTGGCTTTGCGGGTGGAGCTGCACCGTCCCAAAGTGGAGGTCTCGCCCTTTGCGGATCTGCCCTTGCTGAAGCCCATGATGCAATGGTTCTACGGCCAGGCGCCAGGGGGACCCAAAAAGGCCGGCAAGGCCCCGGCTTTGTCGAAAGTGGTTCAGTCCCCTAAAGATCATGCGTGGTTCAATTTCCCCTACAGGTTGGACGTATTGTCCCTCCTTCCCCGCAAGGTACTACTGGGGGTTTTGGCCGCAGTTCAAAATCGCCAGCTGAAGGTGGATGCTTTTACCTCGCCCAAAAGGGGAAGTATAGGGAGCCTGGTCAAGTCGATGGCCCCTTGCAGTGTTATGGCACCTTGCCATCCACCAAAACTAGGGGCGGGCCCAGGAAGACAACTTTCTGTGAACAGGGGTTCAGACAAATAAATTAGCAGGTATACCGGGGCAGCAGGGACGGACATATTTGTCATTCAGACATGGTTACCTTTGCCCATCCCCGCTTCCCCATATCCTCGCCAGTTTGTTTTTTTCAAAGGGTTCCTTCCGTTTCCATGTTAGATGTTTTAAGCAATCCGTTCTTGTGGATACCCCCTAAACCCCTAAACCCTAAACCTCCCGTAAATGTTTTAAGCAATCCGTTCTTGATCTTGATCTCCCGGTTTCTGCGAGCCAGCAACTTTACCCAGGTTGAGAACAACAAAACACATCACCAAACCGGCGGGGCCTTTTGTGGTGCAACCTCTTCGAGGCAACCCGGAAAAGGGAAAACCACGAAAAGTGTCACTAAACCGTCGGGGCTTTTTGCTCGGGGCTTGGGGCAACCGACGGAAAACCGGGTCATCACCAAACCGTCGGGGCCTTTTTTGGAGCAACCGCTTCAAGGTAACAGCCAGAAAACGGAAAACCAAGAAGCCGTCACTAAACCGCGGGGGCCTTTTGCTCGGGGCTTGGGGCAACAGACTGGAAAACGGGTCATCACCAAACCAGCGGCCTTTTTTGGAGCAACCTCTTCGAGGTAACAGCCAGAAAGCGGAAAACCATCAGATTTACCCTAAAGGTTGACCAACTGTCATGAAGCCGTCGGGGCCTTTTGCTCGGAGCTTGGAGCAACCGACGGAAAGCCTGACAAACAGTCACTAAGCCGTCGGCCTTTTGACCCGGGAACACGGGTCTCTAGGAGAAGCCCATGCCGTTAAGTTTACTCTAAAGGTGAACAAACCATCACTTAGCCGTCGGCCTTTTGACCCGGGAACACGGGTCTCTAGGAGAAGCCCATGCCGTTAAGTTTACTCTAAAGGTGAACAAACCATCACTCAGCCGTCGGCCTTTTGACCCGGGAACACGGGTCTCCAGGAGAAGCCCCTCATCGTGGCGGAGGTGAAGCCGGGCATCGAGTGGGCGCTGCGGCCCAAGGGGAAGGAGGGCAAGGACTTCCGCGTGAAGCTGCTCACCAAGGCCGGGCGAGGCATCCATCAAGTGACGGGGGCTGGTTTGAAGGGTGTCTCTTAGGGGCCCATTCTTCGGGGCCGGAGGCCGGGCATCCATCGCGCGGCGGGGGGTTGGAGACGGACTGGGGCCTGGGGGACCCATTTTGGGGGGCTGGTTTAAAGGGACACCGAAAGAAAACCAACCTTTTGGGGGGTTGCCTAGAAAGACAGGGTTGGAGACAGACTGCTAGGTCCAGCTAGGCCCTAAAGTAGACCAAGCCTGATTTGGCCGGAAACCTGATTTAGGACCATTTAGGACCTCAATGTGTGTTTGCTTTTCGGGCTTAGGGCTTCAACGTTTCTGAGCACCTGGGCCAAGAGTCGTCTCTGGTTTAGGGTTTGGTTTCAATGGAAACCGAAAGAAAGCTGACCTTTTGAGGGGTAACTTGTTTTGAGACACAACATGGTACAACTTCCAATAAGACGCAGTCTGGGGTCACAATGAATTCCCCTTTGAAGATCAAAGGAAAACCAGGGGCAACTGTCTAGGAACTATATTAAGAAATGATTTGGGTGCAACTCCCAGCTTCCGTGGCATCACCCTAATCGGAGTCACCAAGAAGGTTCTACCAAGGCATACCCCAAATGAGCCACAATTAAAGCCTTGAGATGAAAGATAGGGGCAGCCGGGCAGCCCCAACCATAGATAGGTGCGGATATCCTTGACATTGGTTTGGGTGGACCCCTTTAATACCTTTTGCGCTCAAACCCCCAATTGGCAATGTCCCAATTCATTTGTTTTTCGGCCTGTTTAAGCCTTATGAGCATGAATGTACCAAAGTCAACGGGCTCCGGGTGCTGCTCGGATAGACATACCCCAAGATCAGGGCTTCTGCATGGGCCACGCATTCATACCCAAAACCGTGTACATGCCCCCATTCTTGTATCCTTGTATCTAGCCGGAAAGGTGGGGTATGTTCATTTTTCTCCACAATCAAATTGAGCCGCAATCAAAACCAGGATAGATGAAGGTAAGAGGCAGGCTCAGCCATCAATGGGTACGCTTATCCACCCATAAAATTCTTTCCGTGGCTTCACATGGTTTCACTTATACTAAGCTTTGATTTTGTCTCAACTGGTGATGTCCTTTTGTTGAGGCTACCCTATCTTATCCAGTGAGTTGGCAACCGTTAAGTTTGAAACTTCGTGGCAGGTTTTTCCAGAGTTGGCCACGAGGTTGAATTGTTTCACAACTACTTAGTTTACAGCTTATGGGTAACAAACAGCTAGCACGTGGATGCCCAATGGTGGATTTTGCACCCAATTCCATGGGACATCATGGGACATTATCTCGAAGCGTGTGGTAGCTGTACCCATTTGTTGGGAATGCGAACTGATTGTTGCTCACCATGCTGCGGATGGATGAAAATCCTGAACCACATTGAAACCATGGGTGAAGCCATGATTTGTTGGTATTTACCCGGGAATCGAATCAGAAACTAGGGTTTCTTGGGTGGTGTGAAGTGGGCGGGCTCACTTTTTGGTTCTTCCCGAAAAGGCTCCGACACTGTCCAGTGATGTCCGTGTCAATTTGTTTGGATCCCACGGGCTTCGGTTTCCTTCTGACTCCCATGAGGAGGAGGGGAAAAAAAGCAAGGTGAGCAAGGTTACAAGCCCATGTCGCATTTATGATGCTGACTTGTGCCCTAGGATCAGATTCTCCTAGTTTCCTGGATTCCTTAGGCAGCCAGCTGAGTGGACATTTGTCCTGTCGGGCATCCATTTAATCTTGTGGATGCGTGGATGCAGTTTTAATTGGGGACCCTTGAACATCAGGTTTCAGTGGGTGCCGATTGATGTCCACCATAGGGAATGAGGGAATGAGTTGGAATGAACCTGGGGATTCCCTTAGGAAACCAATGGTTTATCTCGGAGTCATTCCATTTCCCATTCCCTGCATCTCTCGCACCAATCGCATGGGGTTTGACTCGCTCACGCTCCGCGAGGCGGGGGTGGTGGTGTGCACGCGGCACCTGCGCCGGGGGCAGTCCTTCGACTTCGAGGCCCGGAAGAAGTCGCCGCCAGAAAGCGCTGGGGAAATTGGGCGTCACTTCAACGGGCCTTGCATAGGGATTTCGTTTTTTCTGGGTTGTTTCGGCAAAACCCAGAGATGGCCCTGGTTGACCTGCTTGTGTTAAAATATCTTCCTGGGCCGCCTACTTACTTTCCGGGGAAAAAAGAAAAACAAGGAAGAACAAAAACACACCGATGCTTGGATGTAGCCACGGAATACAATGCTTCGAACCGAAAAATATGTACTTACTCCCAGAGCTTTTGGTTTTGCTTCTTTTGAAGAACATTTTAGTGGCAACAAGTTTGGACTTTGCTTGGCCAATCCACTCAATAAGTAGGTTTTCTGTTTTCCACAAGCCTCAAAGTCAAAGGGGTATGGCAGGACATGTTCCCGAGCATTGATGTTCTTTTTGCGTTCCCTTGCCCCAAAAAACAACCGCGAGTACCCCAGAAAACGTTTGGCGCCCAAATGGAGAAGCCCTCAATTCGGCTCGCTTCCCTGCACCCAACGAGCCAGCATGGGCCACCGATCGAATTTCAACCACAGGCTTGCCGATCACGGGAAGGATTGAAGAGAGAGAGTGTGTGTGTTTTTGTTGTTTCTGACGCGCAACTGAAAATCGCATACTTTCAGGTCTTCATCTGCCGTTCGAAGCAACATGGAGAGAGTGGCCCTTCAAGATCACTTTTTAAGAAGTAGCATGATACATCAACGCACCACAGCAACAAGAGTTAGTCGCCCAAACTGAAACACACGCAAGAAACACAATGTTATGCATATTTAGCCCCTGGTCCCCAAGCTTGTTACCCCTTGTCAACCAAAAAAACAAAAACAAAAAAAAGCGGCTAGCAATGCTACAAACAAACACATAAGCAAGACACACATCAAACAACCAACATGTAGACCAGACACATAAAGCATTAAGCAAAAAGCAAACAAATGCAACAATGCAACCGTCACATTCCAACCAGCACCATGTTCTTTGAAAACCACTATATAAAAAAGTAAAACAAAGAATGCAACTATCAAATCGTAGAAGCAACGGCAAGCATCATACAACGCAAGCGACGCGGCCGGAGGGTTTTTTCTTCGCCAGGTGCCCGTGCCTCCGCCCCCCGCGCAGCTGCGGGCGGCGGCATTGGCGTCGAACCGACCCACCTCAGAGAGCACCATGCAGCAGCGCCTCAAGGCACTGGAAAAGGGGCAGTTGCTTGTTGCTTATTTTTATTTATTTTTTGTTTTATTAAAAAACAACAACATTGTTTTTGTGTAAGGGCCAAAAGCTTATGTTTCCACTCCCGAATTGGAAAGTGAAGGGACCCTGGTCAAGCAGAGCACCGGGATGGAACCTGTTGGGTGGGGGGCAGTGGGGGTGGTCAACATTTTTCTGTGAACAGGGGGCCTTGGTGGTTTCTATGTTGGCCAACGTGGCGTTGTCGTTTTGATCCTTACATCATGGCACTACGAGCCACAGTCAATCTTACCCGAGAGATGGACAACTCGCCACCCCCGGCATCCAGGGACCCGGTTTTAAGAAATGGGCTCATGGTTCTTAGGGCCTGCAAACTGGGCGCCTGAATGGGGTTACTTCCTGTAGGACTATAGTTATGCTCACTCCAGCCAGTAAACGGGACCCTGGCGAAACAACATGAGAAAACCGTCACACTCACTCGTTTTTGAGGTTCTTGGCGCAAGTCTTAACCCCTGCATTATTGATTTTTGTTGGTCTTTTGGGCTTGAAACAGTTGAGCGCCAAGCAACAAGTGTGCACTTGTTTGCCAATCCTGTCAGCAAGTGTGTTGGACTTGTGCTTCCATCTCTACATTTTCCTCAGCGTTAATTTTCCGTGTATGTTTGTTATTTGTGTGGTTGCTTGTTGTCGTGTCTCTGGCTTTGTGTGTGTGTGTGTGTGTTTGTGTTTCATTGCCTTTGTTTGGTTGGTTGGACGCCGTATTTTTGTGGTTTGTGTTCGTTTTGGCCGGTGCTGTGCTTCTGCTTGGTGTACTTGCTTTGTTTTGTTGTTTTTTTCCCTGCAAGTCCCTTAGGGATCCCCATGCCTCAGCAAGGCCTCAAAAGGTTTGTTGGGAGTTCGCCTTCCATGCCTTCCATGCTGTCCATATCTCTTGTCCGTGTTCGTGGCTCGGTGTCGTTTTTGTTTGCTTTGCTTTCATTTGTGTGTTGTGTGTGTGTGTGTGCGCGTTTCTTGGCTGTGCTTTGCTTTGGGTCAAAGTGTTGGTCGTGTTAATTGCGTCTGTTGGATGATAATTGAGGTACTATGTGCAGTACGGCTTGTCTTGCTGGTTCTCAGCAGGGAATGAGGGGATGACCCCTATAAACCTGTTCTTGTGGTTCCTTTAAGTAGCCTTGGGTTCATTCCCAAACCTCGGGGGTCATGCCCTAGGTCATGTTAGGGGAGCCTTGGGTTCATTCCCAAACCCCAGGTTGCGTTCTTTCTCTTGTTTTCTTGTTTGTTTTGTTTGCTTTGTGAGGCCACGGACGCGGCGGTGAAGGCCTTCGGCGGAGAGATGGAGGAGGACTGTGGACCATGGGGACCAAGCAGAGGCTACAGGTGTTACGTGTTGGGTTTTCCCTGAGGTTTTCCCCAAGATTGGTTCCTTAGGGTTTTGCCGGGTTTCCCTATCCCGGCAAACCTGGCCGTGATTCCGTGGCAGGTACCCTTTTCGGGTCAGGGATGAACATCGCAGCATATCGCAGCCATTTGGCTGGCTGCCAAATTGCCCATGGCTTGTCCAGATCCCCTATTCAGTCTCTACATGTGTTTTTTTTGTGTGTGTGTGTGTGTTTGTTCCCGGTCCATTTCCATGGTTTTGGCAATCAGCTCAACACTCCAATCAGCTCAACACTCGGTTGGCTCCAGGGTTGAATTTGTTTCGGACCTTGTGCCTACAATAGGTGATTGCCCTTTTGCTCAGGGGAAAGACTGAGCAACCCCAGTTTTTTGGTTTGTTGATGTTTGTTGTTTTTTGAGGAAACTCCCCCCCAAAAAAAAACAAAAAAGAGGAAAACATAAGTTTCCATTCGGTTTCTCTTTGAAGCCGCGCCAAATCCAAGAGATCCACAACCGCATCGACACCCATTTTCCCCTAGGATCATGATTTAAGTTTGGCTTTTTATAAGCATCCCACAACTCCTAAGAACCACTTTTAGGTGTCAAAGCCCTAAGAACCATTTCCAAGTGTCCACGCCCTAAGAACGGTCTTTCAGTGTCCACCCCTTAAGGGCCCTGAAGAACCATGGGTCTAGAGGTACGTTCCTTCCTTTCAGGAAAACCCTCAAAAACCCAGGTTGGAAACGGCGATCGGTTTTCAAAAGAACGATGGTTGAAAAGAATGGAAAAGGAAACACCCCCTAGAATAGTCCTAGAATGACGTATATAGCCCGAAGAACCTTCTTGTAATTTGTCCAAGCCCTAAGAACGGTTTTTTGGGTGTCCAACCCCTAAGGGCCCTGAAGAACCATGGCCAGACGTTGCCCCTGAAGAAACTTAAGAGACTCCTGGGGCCCACGTTTGATTTTCAATGTTCTGGGTCTGGTCATGTCTGGCCGCAAAATCCACGGAATCGCACAACACTTGTGGACAGCAATGCATATATGCATATGGGACTTGTCTTAAATAAGGGAGCCCTCAAGATGGTGATATCCAACCCCTAAGAAGCCATGTTTAAGTGTCCAAGCCCTAAGGACCATTTTTAATTTGTCCAAGCCCCAAGACCCTTTCTTGTTCAGTGTCCAACCCCTTTAAGGGCCCAACAAAGACCAGCGCCCCAGACTTTTCCCGATGTATCCAGGACCGGGGCTCCGTGGCCTCTACGGCGGCGCCCTCCTCGCGCTTCAGCCTCACGAGCACCACCTCCTCTCGGGCGCCGGGGGTGCCTGCGGTGCCCAGGTCCGCCAGGGAGGAGACGCGTGCGGAATCGCACGGTCGGCCGGGGCGTCAGGTTTGTGTGTCCTTTGCGTTCTGCTTTTTCGGGCGTCAGGTTAAGCCCCAAAGGCCCCAGCACGAGGAGAAACCCTAGCATTGTAGGCACCTTGCTTGAACAAAGCTACGCTTCATGGGTTGTTCGCAGGAGATGCAGGCCAAACTGGAGGAGCGGCGTCGCAAGGTAGAGGGCCTGCCGCCCGTCTTCTCCGCCGACGAGGCCCCCTCCCCCTCCGACGAGCCCAAGCCTGCAGAACCGGCGCCGCCGCTTTTGGCAGCGGTGCCGACGGTGAAGTCGGAGCCGGAGGCTGGCGGCAGGAGACGGAGCTTCAAAGATGTCCGGGTTGACCAGTTGCGTTTTCTATTAAACCTAATTATCATCTAGATATAAAAAGAACATACACATACATACATACGCACGTACGTACGCACATGCGTACATACGTACATACATACACACATACACACATACACACACACACACACACAGATACACACATACACACGTACACACGTACACACGTACACACATACACACATACACACATACACACACACATACGCACATACACAGATACACACATACACACAGTCACATACACACACACATACACACATACACACACGTACGCACGTACACACGTACACACATACGCACATACGCACATACACACATGCACACACATACACAGATACACACATACACACATACGTACGTACATACATACATACATACATACATACATACATACAGACACACACACAGCCATACATACATGCATGCATGCATGCATACATGCGTACCAGAGACAGAGACAGAGACAGAGACAGAGACAGAGACAGAGACAGAGACAGAGACAGAGACAGAGACAGAGACAGAGACAGAGACAGAGACAGAGACAGAGACAGAGACAGAGACAGAGACAGAGACAGAGACAGAGACAGAGACAGAGACAGACAGAGACAGAGACAGACATACATATATACATACGCACAGATCCATCCATCCATCCGTACGTACGTACGTACGTACGTACATACATACACACATGCATACATACCCACATGCGTGCATACGTACATACGTACATACGTACCACAAAGCCTTTCTTTTTGCGGGGGCTTGCATTAGTAGAACGGTTGGAGCTCCCGGAGAGCCACCTAAACACGCAGCAGTCAAAGGCTAGCTGGCCGGGGAACTCCAGAACCTGTTTTTTCCGGAGGCTCCTGAACCCGCACAACGGATCCGAAAATTTGGACTGGGGTTTTCGACAATTCAACCCGGGCCCTCCCAAAAATCAGTCGCGATCCTGAGGGTAGAGGAAAACAGGGGAGGACCACCCCTCCCCCCCCCCGTATCCCCCCCCCCCCCTCCCATATGTCAAAGTCTCAGCAAGACTCACTGAGTCTTGCCGACCACTGAGCCCAGCAAAGGGGCCCACGGCCGACCCCATGCGTGGCAGGAGCTTGCTCACCTCTGTGGAGGGCTTCCGCTTGTGCCTCTGCCCCCGGTGCCTTCACTCCATGCCCCTCGCCGGAGTTAGATCCAAACCGCAGCAAGCCTTTGGAAGCTTCACTAGGTCCCCCAGCAGTGCCCTTTTCCCAACTTTTTTGCGGGAGGGTTCTTCCCCTACTAACACCCTTATTCTCACCTTTGTACTGGAGGACCAAGTACATGTTCCACGTCGACCCATTTTTTGGGCTTCCATTTGTTTGTTCGGTTAACATGTAGTTAACACCTTATGGGAGTTCAGTTGTAACCAGCGTTCGTGTTTTGCCTTTTGACCTGTTCGCCCTGAAAGGCCTTTCTCAGCTGACGATTGTTCCCATTGCCAGAGGAAGCTTCAACATGAATTTAGGAAACTCCGTTTTAACCAGCAAACACTTAATGTGAGGATGTTTGCTTTTTTGCCCTTTGAGTTTTCTCTATTTTCTTCCCCTCCCCCCCGCCCCCAACGAAATGTACAAAGCAAGAGTCAAGGCTTAGTAAGCCTTATGAAGGGCAATAAGACCTAAGGCCGGGCAAACGTGCACTTGCCAGACTCCGCTGCCTTTTTCTTGAATTTACCTTGGTTGCTGTCCCTCTCTGTATGATTGACATTCCCCAAAAGGAAGGAACAAGGGTACGGATACTCCAATGGAGTGCATTGAAATCAGACCAGTCAACGCACTTTTTTTTGCTACTTTTTGTTGGGTACAGGGTTTCCCCCTTTAAACTCAACCAGCAAAGAAAAAAACGGGAGCCCTTTTGTTCCCCCCCCAAAAAATAATAATGAAAAATCCCCTCAACATCCGAGTGCGAGTTTTTGACCTGGGGGCCAGGCCCGTGCGGCACCGGCGCCCGCGGGCCAAGATCTACACGGGCGGGGTGCGGTGCGACCACTGCCGCGCGGTCGCGCTGAATGGAGTGCGCTCGTTTTTCTGGGCAGGGCTCCTCAAAAGATCTCCATTTTGCAACCATTTGAAACATGGGTTTGATCCACCAAAATCAAGGGAAACCACCATTTTGCCCATTTGAAACATGTTTTTTTTTCTCACCAAAATAAAGGGACACCACCATTTACAAGTTGATTCTTCCCAACCATCGTTCTTTTCGAAAACGGATCACTGTTTTCCCTGGGTCTCCGGAGGTTTTCTAGAAAGAAGGATCCCTGGAAAGAATGGGGAAGGTATCACTTGAGTCTTGGCGATCTGGGCTCTGAATTTTAACTAGGTCCCCCAGCTAGGTGCCCTTTCTCACCCCTTTCTTGGTTGGGAGGATTCCCCTACTAGAATAGACTACCAAAAAAAAGAGTAAAAAAGTACCCCTATTCTAACCTCTCTAGCCTAGTTAATGCTTGGAACCTCCGCACGTTTTCCTTTCTTTTTTTCTCGGGGGCTTGACCACATGGAAGTTTAGACTTGAATACATGGCCCAAGCTCAAGTTGACCATCGGAGCAATCAGTGAACCATCAAGTAGTCTTTCCCACATTAGGCCATGGGAGGACAATCGAAACTGGAACCTTGGTCCAGCTCTTTGTTATCAGAAACTGGTGGACGGGAAGTGGTGACCCCCCTGACCTTCACAGTGTCATTTTCCCTGTAGCGGTCGATCTTCCAGGCAACACAGGTTACGAAACTGATCTCTGGGCGGAGCACTTTCAAAGGGAGTCCCTGGCGGTCTTTTGGCAAGGGTTTTTGCGAATCGGGGCTGTAAATGGTTGACCCAGCTCAATTGTAGGACCATACAGAAATGCCCCCCCTAGCACCCCCTCTCCCCTGGCAAGAAGGCCTTGGCACTTACAAGTAGCGCTCTTGTTTTTTTGTTTTTGTTTTTTGCTTTTTCTGGTTGGTCAGCTCAGGTCAACTCGCCAAGCTTAAGGCTAAAGGCTGAAACGGCCCTTGGGCCGTTCCTCACAAGGCACCTCCTTTGGGTACTCGACTATGTGGCCATGAATTTTAATAAGGAACCACCTCAAAAGTGGTTGGTGGACATGAATCCCACCCAAATATTATTATTATTATTATTATTTCCGCTGTTGGTTTTAAAGGGAATCTATCACTACTGGAAATATCTTTATTTTTTTCCAGGGGACCTAATATAAGCAAATGGAAGGGTTGCTGTAGGCCATCCCGAAAAGACTCGGGTTCTAACATATCTCAAGTCTCACTTCCAGGAGAAACGTAGAAGGGTGGCATACAGATTCAGAGCCAAAGGGGGGAGCCGCCACTAGGGGCCAGTCAGGATCGTTTAGTGGCTCCCCTTGGTGGTACATTTTGTTGCAACTGGCTATCTTGGTTGGATCCTTTACTTGTTACATGATCGCTTCAGAATTTGCTCGAGCTTTAGGAGGAGCACAGGTGTCCACACAGCCGGCCCCTGATTAAAATTCCAGTCCATGTATCGTGAGATCTCAGGCAAGACGGAGCTCATGGGCGAGCTGGACGGAGAGAAGGAGAATGAGGAGGCTGAGGCCTTTGCACTGCCCTCATACGTTGCCACACGGATGGCGTCCCTGTTGCTCCCTTTCGAACAGCCAACGTTAAGCTTTTTGCAGGGTGTCTATGGCTCAGTATGAATGGAATGGGGTTGTGGGGCATGTTAAAGCCGAGTTAAGTCATGTGTTGAGGGTTCCGTGTGTTTAATCATCGGAGTATTATCCCCTTTTCTGGTGGTTCCCCAGTTCCTCAGTGGAGTCAGACCCCTCGCATTCCCCTTTTGTTTAGCGGCTTCGCCACTCGTAAATTTGTTTGCCCCCCAAAAGGGCTTCGGGGAGTGGTGGTTGCTGGGAGCAAACCTGTGAGGCTCAGGAAGGGTTCTGCCACTGCAGCCGCTGCTGGTTCGACCTGTGCCGCCCCTGCGCCTACAAGGAGATGCGTGAGGTTTGGTGGGGGGAGGACTGAACCTCCGTCAGTCAAAACCGAATCGGACAGGCGCTTCGAATGGAAGATATGCTTATTGCCGACCATGTGGCTGTGGCTCAGAAAAAGGTGCCAGAATGGCTCCTTGGTAAATTGAACCCAAGACTAAAACCTGCGTTACCCTAGCTCTTTGTTTTTGAGCCACACCCATGTGAGCTGCCGCCCACAAATTGTTGTTTGTTTCTTGGATCATGGGTTTGGCTATACTTGCCCTGGCTATCCACAGGTTCAGCAAGGCTTCTTGCGCCCCGCCATGTCGAGCGCTCGCATGTCCCATGTACAGATAGAAAGATGCTACGCACTGCCAGCAACTGGCTTTGCGAAGACTTCCCCACGAGCTGGAGAAAACGAGTCGGATGTGGGTAACTGGATTGCTCTGAGCCGGCCCACAATTACCATAGTGCTTAGCAATTTGGGAAGCCGTTGTATGTTGCGGAAGCCCTACTCCTGCCATCTTCGGAGCAACCTTGAACTGTGCGAACTAGGTGCTTTCCATTTCAATGACCCTCTCTCCTGCTAACACGGCACCTGGCAGGCGGTCCCTCCAAGAGGGAGTTGATCGACCAGGGACCCCCCCACAGGTGCCAGGTTAGTGGGAAGAAGGATAAGTTCCTCCCCCTTGCAAGCTTCTGGGGTTCCCTGAGGTTTCCAGGTGTTCGCTCCGCGAATCGCTGAGGCCATGAAGAGCAAGAAGGTCGTCAGGACCAACGGAGGGCTTTGGTTCATTTGTACTTCGGTGGTTCGTTTGCCAGTTAGGAAGTTGTTGACAGTTCAACTTCGGGATGTGTCCCACAAATGCTGAGGTTGATTTTACAGAGGGACTTGTAACATGGGTCGTAGCCTAAACTAGCTATCCAAGTAGTGGTGCCCTAGTAAGGGTGAAGCTTCGGAGTGGGGTTTGTGTGTCTGTGTGTCTGTGCGTCTTGTGTGTGTGTGTGTGTGTCTTTTTCTGAGGGTGCTACTTTTCAAGAGTACTCAACAAAAAGGAATCCAAGCCTTTTTGGTGTGCTTATGTTGGATTGCCTTTTACATTGCCCCTACAGAGTGGGTGTCCTTGGTGTCTTCAACATAAAAAGGGCTGCTTTGCCATTTTGACGCAAAGCTCACCGGTCTGTGTGTAAAACCAGTTCACCATGTTGTCAGTTGTTCAAAGCTGACCTTTTGTCCTTTTGGTTTTCCGATTTTGGTCCATATTTAGTCAAAAGGTAAACGTTGCAGTTCCAGGTCCTTTGGGCAACGGAGCTGACCTAATTCGCAGAACAGGTTGCTTCGGAGGGGAAACAGCCGTCTCAGGGGTAGATTTTTGTAGCGTGCGCGAGGGAAAACGTCGGCATGTCGCAGCAGCTCGGCGCTCCGGCATGGCATTTTGCGAGGCGCTCCGGCATGTCGCACGGCATCCAGGTGGGCGAGGCCCATGGCCAGTTTGACATCCCCACTCGGCGGGCTGGCTCGCGGATGCGTGCGAAGCTCACCGCAACCACCAAAACGGGGTGTCTAGTGGAAAGAAAACGGGTCTTCCATTGAAAATTTCAGGGGCCTCTGGGTGATGGAGTTGTTGTAAACCTTGGTCAGGACGGCAGCCCAAAGAAATAGACAGCTCCCTTCTCAAGTGCAACAGCCTCATGAATGGGCTGGTCGCAGTAGATCAAGTGGTGAACGGGCAGACTCGTGGTGAAGGATTTGAGAGGTTGGAGTGCTGGGTGGGCGAGAGAGAGCGAGGTTTTTCTTGGGTGTCGGTTGTTTGACAGCAAGCCTCAAACGTCAGTTCATAGAGCTGCGGCTAGCACGCACGGGCGGAGATCCGAAGGCTTCGGTTACAACGAGCGCCCTGTGCTTTGAATTTGCCCAAAGGAGCAAGAATCTAAGAAGGATACGTCTAGCCTACCAGCACCCCCCCCCCTTCAACAACTGCTCTTTCCCATGTCCCAAAGTTCCAAGTACTGTCCAACATGTCCATGGAAAAAACACATGAAAAAACAGTTGGGGTGTGCTGGTAGTATCGCTTCCCTTTTCCAGGCCGCCCCTTTTGCACCCAAAGTGGAAGGCGGGCCTCGCCCTGCAATTCGCCAGGTTGGAGCCACCAAGGCCGTGCGCAAGGCACAGCCGCCTGGCAGTGCAGCGGCCGTCGTTCGATAGGTTGTACCCCCAACGGGTTTCGGATTCGGGTTCTGTTCGCCTTTTTGACGCATTTGGTTGAAGGGAATGAAGGGATTTTGGGCGTTCCTTCCAAAACGGGGGGGCTATACAGTGGCGGCTATTAATCAAAGGGCAGCAGGCCTTGTAACCTCACGCCCCTTCTCCGTGCTTTGGGCATGAAAGTTATCCGGTGGCCAGCCCCCGTGTACCTCCTTTGAGGGCTAGGGGCTGTCTCCAAATGGGCAATTGAAGGGCCTCTTTCGGTTTGCTCAAGCTTCTCATTGAGAAAGGGTGCACGATCAGAATACAAAAAAGAAGAAAACAACAGTTGTCCGCTTATATAAATGATTGGTTTCCTGCTTGCATACCGACAGAAGGACGCTTTTCCACCATTTGCAGAAAGACTCACAGGGGGAGTGTCTTATTTTCGGCGTCCGCTTCTTGTTGGTTGCAAAGGGAAGCCACAAGGAAGCCAGTCTAGGAAACCCTGTTTTTCATCATATGCTTGGAGGACCAGAAGGGAGGGCCAGATTGAGAAACACTCATGTCAATTGCTTTTGTTTGGGGGCCGCCAAAAAGGTTGTTTCCCCTGCGGTTTCCCTTTAAGACCACTCAAAAAACGGGGCAGCCTCACACCCACGCTTATCGCCCTGAAAGCCACGGGATTTGTCTCGATCTTCGAGGAAGGGCGCCTCACCCTTCCCTGGCTTCGGAAGGCCCAACGCCCAAGAGGCGGGAAGATCGATCAAGCCCCCGAAAAACAACATTTCTGCCAAGCCAAAAAAACCTTTGCCGACTGTTTCAACAGATTTCTACATGTACCAGCAGCTTGGGGACGCTGACCTAGTGAACTTTGGCGGTTGGGGGGGGGGGGAGGGGTACTCTCCTGCAGAACCCAAAAATATCTTCGTAGAGGAACCTCGGTTGGTGGAACGGGGGGGGGGTTGGTCAAAATCAATCCTAACACTTTATGCCAGCTGGCGGTGGTTTCCCTTGCTGTAGCCATGACTCGCTACAGGTCACAAATTTGGTTTCACCCCCCCTGTCTGCTGAACATCTCAACCTAATTGGAGCCCATAGCTTTTCCCCTGGCGGGCAGAAACGGAGAAGGTGTCGAGGGCAAAGGCTCCAAATTCTCCGGCTGTTCTCTTGGGCGATGGTTTGTTTTGCCTTGGCTCAGAATGGGGCTTGACATGTTGCTCCGCATTTGATCAAGAGGTCAAATAGAAGTTCCATGGTAAGGAACAGCACATACGTAAACATCGCTAGACATTGTTGTCAAAATCAAGAAGTCAGATCCACGTAAATTGACACAGACGTGTCAAAAACTGGAGGGTCCACAGTTGTGACAACCCACACACACACATGAAAATTAGTTTGGACTTGCCAACGGTTCCCTTTTTTTCAATTCCCTGTTATTCCCTGTTGTTAATCTTTGGAAAGACCAAAAAGGGTCTTGCCCCGCCCCCCACCCCCCCACTCCCATCCATGTTTGTTGCAAACAGTCCCCTACTACAACGTCTCTCACTTCCAAAGTTCCTGGACTTGATACTTTTCGGAAAGACTATTTTGTCTTTGGCATTTTGCCACGGGATGCTAGGACTTTTTTTAACTTTTTGCCAACCACTAGGCTTTCCGTATTAAACCACCAAAAGTTATTCACTTTTCGTAGGGCTTCGCAGATTTCGCCACCGAGGAGTGGTAAATCTAGAAATTTATTGGACCGTTCTTGGCCCATCCGCTCGGGCAGCGAGAACTTCGATCTCCGCTTCGACCTTCGGCAGGTGCGGCAGCTGCATACCGTGCTGGCGCGGCACTTCGGGAAGCGGCGCGCAGGCAGGGACCAGGCCTCTCGATGTGGATGGGTTGCCTTCCAATTAGTTCGAAAAAGGAAATGGAGGCCTGTGCATGAGACATTTTGCCAGTTGAAGATCCCAGCTTTTTCATGGATGCTCCATGACCTCATGGCAACCTTCCATTTGGCTAAGGGAGTTTGTTATTTCCCCCGTTGGTTTTCAAGGGGATCTATCACTACTGGAAATCCTTTGTTTGCCTGGATATTGTCAAATGGAGTTTGCAATTCAGGCTCATGGTCACAGTGTTTTCGACTTTTGGGACGTTCTGGGATAACACTTCTGGCAGCAAACGACAACATGGATGCCAATCCAGGAAGTGGGGTTCTCATTTTGAGCTTCACTTTTTCAGGCCCATCTACCCGCATAAATTTCCGAAAGGCCTTCCATCCGAATTGTTGGGAGAAAAAGGTCAGATGCTTGTCTGAGAGGTAGGCAGAGTCTTGCCCCCCCCCCCTCCACATACGCACACAAAATCTAAATGCATCCTGTTCTTTCCTGAAGCCGGCCTTTTTCGTCTTCGGGAGCGGTGGGTTTCTCAAAGAGTTTCCTGCTGTTTGCCCAGGGAGGCGGAGGAGAGAGATTCTGGACACTGTGGTGGGAACCATCCTGCCGCAAGCTGAGGGAAGACCCACTCAGATTCTTGTTGCTTTAAACCCATCCAGTTTTTTGGTTGCCAATCTTCAGTTAGTTATGGCCAAAGAAGAACCATGGTGCTTTCCGCATCCGCATCCGAACGCAGCTTCATGCCAGAAAGCGCAACGGGTCGCTCTCAAAAAGTCAGCCCTCCGAGGTCGCAAAACACCACGAACACCAACTCCCACCGGGCCTTTGCTCAGCTGAAGCAACGCCTTTCGCTTAGTGCATTAGTAAGGGGGTCCCTTTAAAAGCAAAAATGGTTCAAACCGGGACCCCCTGAAAGCCAGGCTCCATGTTAATTGGTGGGAGGGTAACCGGTTCATTTGCTTAAGACTTTCTTGGTTTCAGCATTCCCCTTGCTGGTTTTGAAGGGAATCGATTTCACTACTGGAAATAGGTGTTGTTTTCAATCCAGGGGACTTAACAAGCGAAAGTTGGTTTCGGAAAGGACATGGGACTCCTTTTCAGGAACCCCTGATGGACTAAAAATACATTTGGGAAGGGATTGTCAGTAGTAAATTGAAAGCTTGGACTTTTGTCAATCATCGTCAACCCACCCAGAATTTCACTCCGGCGGGACTCTCGGATTTCCCATGTCCATTTTGGGGAGCAGTGAACATTTCTTGATCCAGTGGTCACCCACCCATTGAAAGGGCACCTGAGAGCCATGACCACCGACGCTTTTGCCTCGTCAAAAGCACGGGGACTTTCTGGGCGTTCGACTCTCACAAGGAGTCCTGGTTGGTTTGCTGTGCTACATCCCCCGCAAGCTGATATGAGTTGTGCATATCATATTTATCTTTTGTTTTCCCCCCTTAACCTTGCGGGATGTGTAAAACGGCCTCTGCATAGAATTCAATCACAAGTTGTGGATGTTGGATTCGTTTCTGCGGGTGCCAAAAGCCATCGCTTTCACTCCCTATACTTCCCCACTTCCTCTCGGATTTTAAACATCACCTTTTGGGCCGAAGTCAAAAGCTCCTCTTGATGATGTCAGGACCCACCCCAGCCCAGCCCAGCCCCACCCCACCCCACCCCACCCCACCCCACCCCACCCCACCCCACCCCACCCCACCCCACCCCACCCCACCCCACCCCACCCCACCCCACCCCACCCCACCCCACCCCGTCCCAACCCCCACCGCCACCCCCACCGCCACCCCCACCCCCCCAACCTCATCTACCCACCCGAGCTGCAAAACGCCCATAGCGCCGGAGCAAGGCTTCCCCTCCTGGGACGCGGTCCGTGTGGCGAAGCCGCTCCACGTGCAGAAGGCCATTCGCTGCGGCGGCCTGGCGCCGAAGCAGCCTGGCCCGACAGTTTTGCACGGACGGCTGACGGCTGATGGCTGATGGGTTGGACGGTTGGATCCCCGGTTTTTGGTTTTGCAACATGGAAGCTTCCAGGACCCCTTTGGACGACTTGAACCCAATTAATCACGGAGGCAGAGGCCTCCTGGGAGCTTCCATATTAGTCTGGGGGAGTGTGTCCCTGGCTGTTGGGGTTGGATCTTCAAACTGTCGCACTGTCAACAGCATGGGTATATAACCATACTTGCGGTACCAGAGGAACGTAGCTGGTGCATTTCTGTTTCTTGGATTTTTGCCCCTCAGCTTACAGAAAAGATGTGGTGTTCCACCTACCAACAAAAGCTGGCAGGGAGGAAGAACCAACAACACCAAGGGGCCCTCAAAGCAACCAAAAAGATCCCCCAACCCACTCCCAGCCCCTCAAGGCTTGGGGGAGGGGTCCCGGTCCCCTGGAATTGTCATTTGCAGTTTCAGGATGTTTATTTTTTTCAGCTTGTAGAAAGGCCCTGGTGGCTTTTAGAAATGCCGCCGTCATGGAAATTCTTTCTGGGGAGCTCCCAGGGGGATGTGTTTGTCAATTGTCCAGCCGCTTCTGCCCGGTTGGACATGGTGGAATGAAGCCAGTCAATTTGATTGCCTTGTGGTTCTTGTAAGCCAGGAGCCCGGCTGACTTCGCAGAATTCCACTCTGCCTGCCCTGAATCAAACATGGGCCCTAGGGATGCAAAGAACATACTTGTATGACTAGGTTAGCTCAACTGGGGCATGTTAAGTGCTCTCCGTTTGAAAGGCCAAATCACTTCTTACAGGCCCATCGAGCCACGGGCGAGTCAACAACGTGTTTGTTCCCTTGCTTGCGCCTCCTTTTTCTGCCGGGGGAGATGATGGGCGCTGCAGGAAGACCAAGTGGATCAAGTCGATCCTCAAGACCTTGCACAAGGATTGACCAGTGGCGGCGTTTTGTTTAGAGCTTTGACCGGAGAGTGTATCTGTGTGTTTCTTCCCGCCTACCTACCCACCTTGGAGCCACACTCGCGAGAGCCAGAGTGAGGGGACGACAAACAGTACATGATCTCAACTCTCCTGGGTAATTATGATTCATGTACTGTGCTGGGCAACGACTCATTTGACAGGTGTTTCTGGATCTCCTTGAACAACAATGTTGTTCAATCTGCCGGCATGCCCGTCCCCTATGTGATGGACCCCTTGCAGTCTGGAACCCCTCTTGGGTGGCTTTAAGGGGAAGCCAAAGGAAAACCACCAGTCGCCAGGGTCCCCTAATTTTAAGACACCCCCATGTGTATGCGTGGTCCAACCTTTGCCCCAACCCTCCCGACGGCCGCGGACCGGGGGTCCCAATGTCCACCACAGCTCTCGGCCATTCGCCGCAGGAGCGTGGCCAGACCTCCATGGAATTCCTGCGGAAGCTGGACAAGGCCAATTTTTCAGTCTCCGGTGTCCACCGATTTTTGCCCAAAAAAGCCAAAAAAAAAAAGAGGGGGCGGCCTTCCCGAAAAATCCTTACAAACAAAAACACCCAAAAGGGCTACCCTCCCAAAACGACGGCCAGTTGAGCCCCCGGTTCGGAGTCCGAGCTCCGCGAAATCACAGTGAGCTCGCCAGCCGCTGGGTGTAGATCCTTGCCGATGTTTCGGGGACTCCGAAGCTCACTTCACATGGAATCACCCCCGGCCCCCTTGTTTGCTACCACCACCGAGGACCAGGGTTCTGTGGATCCCCAAAGAGCGATTGAACAGAAGGAGGGATCAAGCGCAAAGATCAGCCACTTGGGAAACCAGTTCGTGCATAGTCCCAAGCACTTGCGACATCCGATTTCAATCGCCAGCACCAGCACCTCAAGCATGGCTATGTACATTTGGAGGGTTTTCGTTCTTTTGTTTGGCAGCTCTGTGATGGGACCTTTGGGGCGTCTTCTGCCTGGCTTTGCCATTGGTTAGACGGCTGGCGGTTTTTGGGCCCCACCTGCCTCCAAGCCATCTCTCAAAACGGCCTCTTCCGGTGCCTAGGTCCCCCAGCAATTGGTGCCCGACCTCTCACCCGTTTCTTTTTTTGGGTGGGAGGGCTCCCCTGCTAAAACCGACGGCAAAAAAGAAAGGGTAGCCTTATTCCAACCTCTCTACTGGAGGACCTAGGTGAGGATCTCAGGGTCAGAATGGCTCGGGCATATTGCAACGATTGATCACACCCGTCAGTAACAGCCGACATGGGCACGGCTAGCTGAGAAAGCTTAGTATTTGCCACATCTAGGTCTAGGTTTTCTGGTGGTTGACGGCTGTCCCCTGTCCGGTCAAGCCAAATGCACCCGCAAAGTGGCTTTGGTTGGATTTGCAGAAGAAGCTGCTTTGAGGGAGTTGGTCGATTTTCTCAGACCCCATTCATAGAATCCGCCCCCTTGGTTTCCTCCAAGCACAAGGCTTCATTGTGGCCTTGTTATAAGGGAATCACGGGAAGCCGGGGGGGGGGAGATTAGGGGAGGGTTTGCAATCCTATGGTCATGTATTTATTACTTGTATAGGTGTATAGGACGTGCACCCAGCTTGCGTCCATCTCCTGAAGAATCTCAAACCGCAACCATGCCAATGCAAAAGGTCGATAACTTATTCCCCCAAGCGCGACCTTTGCCAAAACGAAACAACCCTTCTCCTGAGTTCTTCCACTTGGGAGCTTGCCGGAAAGCCCATTTGAGTGTTTTACAGTTCAATCCTGTGTGGGCCAATCCACCTGGGTGGGGCAAAATATGGTTTAAACACCTTTACAAGGGAAGAATCATCATAACCAGTGGTTTAAACATGTTTAAGCCAATGGGTGGCCCCACCCTACAGTTTACCCGCTCGAAAGTGCGAATGCCATCTTGCCCGAAAAACACACGCGTTTGGCCCGACCAAAAAGAATCGATCCGATCGGAGGACTCGGTGCACGCGGAGCTTGAGCGGTTTGCCGGGGTGGGCAAGAAGACCAGCGCGGCTCGGTGAATGTGAGGCTGGTGCTCAGGGGATGAAAAATGGCATGAACCTGGGGATTCCCGAAACAAGGAAGCCACCTGGATTCGATGGTTTGTAGCATTCCCGAGCACCAGCAAGTTGAGTGAGGCTTTAGTCACTTCTTCTTTTTTTTTGGGGGGGGGGACCGTAGTGGCAAATGACAAGTGTGGACTGGGCGAATTCTGATGCCAACTGCTGATGCATCACAAGGACCATGCTAGTCAGGGATAGTTCCAATGATAGCGAATCAATTCATTTTGGGGGCACTCTTTTGATTGATATGGTCCTCCGGATTAATCCGCAGTCAACATGAACGAGCATACCTGGGGCTGAAACAAGCTCACCTATGATGTCATTACTGATTCAGAGCCATAGTAAGGGCAGCAATTGCAACCTCATAGCGGCTATTAGGGCCCAACAACACCATTGTGAGTCTGAACCTTCCCTTGGGTCCTCTTGCTATGGCTCTAAAGCAGCCTTGAGTACTCCATTTGTCAATGAAGGTCCTTTACCCGTGAATCCTCCGTTTCAGGGTTTCGTATTATTGTGGAACTTGATGGCTTCGTCAAGCTCTGTTTTTGATCCGCGGAAACAGGCGGGACTGATTCATTGTCCCACGTCCACGGGAAATATGTTGACCCCGGCTCCCGTCAGTTAGTGACGGTGCGGTCAATGGGCGTGAGTAGAGCTTTCCCCACCCCTCAACCACACCTCATGTTTTTTCATCTTTGCTGACGGAGTGTGTTTGGGGCCCGCGGTCCCGAAAAGGGCATTGATTCCTGCAGGCCCTTTCCCATTGGAAGGCAAACGCAAGCGCCAGCGCGAGGCCATTATCAACCTCTTTGACTGCAACAATCCTGACATGGCCGTGGCCCCTTGGAAGGCAATGTGGGCTACGACTTCTCTGTGGCCTGAAGCGAACATAGGCCTTACCCCATTCATCCCAATCAACTAGGACCCACCCCCCAAAAATGGTCGGCTTTGCTGGAAATTAGATGCAAGTAGTGTAGAATCAACGTTTGATGTTAATCTGCTGGAAAAAGCTTGGGTGAAGCTGGGGGGCTGCATGAGCCTCCAAGGCTGTAGGGGGGAGAGGACAGCTCTCCAGCCCTTGTTGGAGGTCCAAGACTTTTACCTTTTGACCTTTCGGTTTTCCAATTTTGGTCCATTTTTTTCTCATGGCCCCAGAAGGTTAACCTTTTAGTTCTAAGTCCTTTGGGAAACTGAGTCCCACTCACATCTTCACTTGGGTTGGTTGCTTATGCGCCCTGCGAATCGGCTTGAGGCTCGGATGGAAGCCCAGCAAGGCTGCGTCAAATGCTCCTATGGTTGTCGGGCCCCCGCACTACGGCCCCCCGAATCTCGATGTGGGGAGCTTGTAGCATCTATCACGGGGCTATGGACCAATAGGATTCCGTTTGGGCGTCAAGATGGCGCTCAATCAACACCTAAGAAAGACAATCAACCAAAAAAAACGCAAAAACGCATTGGGATGGTTCTGACCATGGGAAACGCGCCCAACTCACCGAGGACACGCACGTTTTCCGCTACGCCGTGCAGCTGGGCTGGGCCCCCACAGAGAAGCAGCGCAAGCGCAAGGCGCCTTGCGCGAGATCCAAAGTCACCCCCGAGAACCAAAGCGCAACAAGAGCTTCCATTTGCTTAAGAGTATGTTTTGTTGTCCCTTGTTGGGTTTAAAGGGAACCTATGACTACTGGAGATGTTTTGTTTTTCCCCTCCAGGGGTCTTAACCAAATGGAAGAGAAGCAGTCCCAGCCAGAAGCCATAGGTGTGGATATTCACCCTTGGAATTCCTCACGGTGTTTGAGACCAGGCTACCCTCTTTGGTTTGTTTTGTTTTGGGTTTCGACTGTGGTGCCCATGGGTACGTACTACAAGGGAGTCAATATCTTCAAATCAACTTGCTGGTTTTGAGCGGGGTGGGGAACTGGTGGGCTGGACCCTCCTACAACTGGAGTAGACTTAGGATACATTTTACATGTTACCAGTGACTCCAAGTGAAGCAAGCAATAACATATACATTCTATGAGTATGCCGAATTCTAATCATGACAAAAGAGATGGCAGCTTTTTTTTCCCATGGGGTTGGGAGTATAGCTCCGCGCCGGCAAGCGTGAGCCTGTGATGAGCCAAACCCCTTGCTTGGGGCATTCCTTGCGTCAGTTGGTGATGGCACATGCAGACATGCCCCTGTTGTTTGTGTTCAAACATCACCTCTCAGAAACACCAATGGCGATTGATTTTCCATGGGACGATGCGCAAAGGGGGCACAAAAAGGAAGCCTGTGAATGTATTACCTCGCTCACCCACGACCAAGGTCCAGGGGTTAGTGGGGTGAGTTATGAGTACAAAAGTGCAGCGAGTAACAAACACCTTGTTGCCAGCACCCTTTGTATTTCTCTAGCGGCGGCAAAGCTTGGCCACAAGGCTTCCAAAGTGGTTGCCAATTTTCCCAATTGTGGGCTGCAAGGTCCCCCAGTAGTGCCCTTTTACCCTTTTTGGGGGGAGGCTTCCCCTACTAAATTCTAACCTCATAATAGGAGGATCTAGGCTGGTTGCTTGGAGCGAATCTGAGAAGCAGCTGGGCGCGTCTCTCCTTTGGGCAGGGGGCGAGCAAGCCCTGGCCAGCAGTGACCCGGGACACTGTCTATGCCCATTTGGACGCTACCTTTCCGGAGCCTTGGCGCAAGTTGCAGGGGGGTGTTTGAGGCCCGGTTTTCCTTCGACCCCCAACGTCATAGACACTGACGCGCACGTACGCATACGCTGCATGCCTGCCTTGACATACCATGCAACTTCATTTGCCAGGCAGCTGCATGCGTCTGCATGCGTGGGTGCTCTTGCAAAGGAAGCTGAACGACATGTAGGGGAGTCTGCACAGGTGCCTACGCGTATGCAACCCGTTACATCTACGCGTGTGTACGTGTGAAGCAGCTTGCTCATGTGGTGCAAGTGCTTGCGTTCAAACCTGTACATGCACCTGCGCACATGCGCACCTGCAGCTGCACCCATGCAGATTTACACATGCACATTGTTGTGCGTTGTGCATGAGTCCAATGCAAACATAGCCTTGCACATAGCAACAGGCTCACATATAGGCCTATTCATTCACGATAAGATGACGTGTATATTACGTACATAATGATAGACAAGCGTGCAACGCTATTGTCTTCAGTTTTAATTTGTTTTCCTTGATTTGAGCAAGCAGGCTGCAATCTTTTGAGGTTGGCAGTCCGCAACAGCAGGAAGTATATTGTTTGATTTGTTTGGAGCAATCTATGGTCCATGCATGCCCGCCCCCGAACTCTAAATATGGGTATCTAGACTTCAGCGTGTTCATTTGTCCGACTTTTGCCGTTTGTTTGACTGGAAAAAAGCGAACCAGCATGTTGTTAAGGATGACCTCAAGTACTCCATGCACCTAATCCTCACCGACACAGAGGGCGGCTTACCGGTGGTATGCGGCGCGCGCAACCGCCTACGCTTCGACGGAAAATCTGTAACCGTGGATGGCAAAGCCCTACGCGATGTCGTGAAGGCAAACTTTTGAGTGGAGTCAGTGGCTGCTGTTTGGTTGGGCCTTTTTTTTCTTCTTTTTTTCTTTGTGTGTGTGTTGTGTTAAGGGACCCCAAAATAGTGGGTGTTCCTTTTGGTTTCCCTGCAACACCACCCAAGTCGGGGTACCCTCAAAACAAGACACACCCCTGTGGAACTAAACATGTTTGGCAAATTATTCAGATTTTTCTACTAAACTTCCAACTGACAAGCTTTTTGCCCAGGGAATATCCATCAGGCGTTGATTGCAAACTGTATTCAATCGCATGGGTGGGTGGGTGTGTGTGTGTGTGTGTGTGTTTATTTGAGGGTGCTGCTTTTGGGCGGTGAGGGGAAACCAACGGAACAAAAACAAGCACATTTTTTGGGCCCCCTGCTCTTGACACATGCCCAACTGGACAATGGCGCCCTTTGAATTGGGAAACCAACACAATGTTGTTTAAAGCATGAGTGCCATAATCAAGATGCAACAAGGGGTTGGCCCAACCAGGCTGGAGGCATTGAGGCCAGGACCGTAGTGCAAAATGATTCTCGCCAAAGGGCGGGAAACAGACACCTCCCGCAAATCAAGCGGAGGTAAATGGTTGAAACCAGGCCCTGGTTTAGATGGGATTTATTCCATTTACCAGGGCCATCTATTTTGCCAAAAGGCCACCTATGGTTGCAACACGATGCATCATTCGAGATTTAACGCCGGTCGGGCTGCTTCTGAGGGGCCGAAGATCGTCATTTTCGGGCTGCATTCCAGGTGTTTGCTCGGGGCCAGGCCCAGGGCAGAGCCGGGAGGTGGGAATGCGAGCCCCAAATATTTGGGTAGGATAGCTGGGCATTTCAAAGGCAATCAAGCTGAAGAAGGGAATTCATTAGGGTCCCTTTGTGGTGGTTTTCCATTTGGGAAAATCTCTGCTCTTTTTGTTTGATTTGTGTCATGCTATTGTTTGATGTGTCCTTCTTGAGTGGGAAACCGCCAAAACTGATGGTGCATGGAAAGTGAGATTGGCCAAAGTATTTTTGGAATGCCCCGGCAAGACGCTGTATAGGCTTCGCGGAGCTAGTTGAACAAATAGAGATGCGCTGCTTGCAGGTTGGCGGGCAAAAGTGCACAGCTCTAGGGGTACCTTCCCCATTCTTTCCAGGGATCCGAATCTTTTCAGGAAACCATCAAAAGCCCAGGGGAAACAGCCGGTGTTTGAAAAGAACCATGGTTGAAAAGAATGGGGAATCAACCCCTCGAACAGCCCAAAAATAGGCAGGGCTCAAATTGGCGTGCTTGCGGCCTTTGAGCAAGGAAAGCCCATGGCGGCATGACTGAGATTTCTTGGCTGCGAGTTCATTGCAAAAGCGATGCATGAAAGATGTTGGAGGCCGTCACTGGCATGTGCAAGGCGCGCCTTAGATTTGGTGAGGCCTAAGTCAACCCCGGATGAAGAATCCATGCGAGTCTTTACAGCTTCCATGCACTAGCCAAAAGTTTCATTAATCCTGGGTTCCCAATTTGCAAGCAATGAAGACGGGCAAAAGGGAAGGCGACAGAAACAACGGCGAACGCTTTTCTTCTGGAAGAAACGCCTTGGCCTAGGATTTCTTCGCATCCAGAGGGGGGCCACCCCTGCAATTCCGTTTTTGGTTCCATTGCCCCTTTTCTGGGGAAGACTTGATCAATGGAGTTTGGGGACCTTTTACCCCCTGCCCTTATGGTAGGGGAGATTTCTCCCAGGACCCTATGACCTTGACGCTCTCTGAAAGGCCCAGCCACGTGGCTTCTGTGAGACGTCCCACTTGCCCTTGGGTTTCCCTCTCGCCGCCTGCTCCAGCTCATGAAATTGCAATGAGCTGTTTCACCCGTAGTCGAGCTGCTGATGCCTGCTTATGGAGTGGAGGTTCTGAGGCAGGATATGTTGGACTTGGGCCGCTCCCTGAACTCGTATGGAAACGGATGAAGGAAGTTCTGGCTGCTTGCCAGCGGATGACCCATTGGGGACAGGATTCTGAAAACTTGGGGGACGGCACCATATTAAATCGTTAAATGGCCAGGTTTTGCTGTTATTGGACCCAGAAGTTCTGGCTGTTTTGAATCCCTCACGACATCTTACGACCTTGTTTTTGTTGGATCTCTACCCGCTGAATAGAATTCGAGGAGGGACGCACCTGGTTTTGAACACCTGTTGCGCCGCGTTTTTGATCGCTGAGAAAGTTCAACCTAAACCAGCCCTAAAGCCGCCACAATCCAACCCTGAACCCTCAACCCCAAACCTACCCTAAACCTAGCCGCAACCTCGCCTAAACCAGCCTGACCCAACCCGAAAGCGTCCATAAACCCACCCTGAGTCCAGTGCATCGAACATGAGCCACGCCGTTCGAGATTGATCAGGCTCAAGACCCGCAGGGCATAGGGCTTTGTAGGGCTTAAAGCTAAAAGGAGGGCTGAGTTGTGGAGCTTTCCATTTCTATCCCAACAGCCCCCAACAGCCCAACAGCCCAACAGCCCAACAGCCCAACAGCCCAGCAGCCCAGCAGCCCAGCAGCCCAGCAGCCCAGCAGCCCAGCAGCCCAACAGCCCAGCAGCCCAGCAGCCCAGCAGCCCAGCAGCCCAGCAGCCCAGCAGCCCAGCAGCCCAGCAGCCCAGCAGCCCAGCAGCCCAGCAGCCCAGCAGCCCAAGCAGCCCAGCAGCCCAGCAGCCCAGCAGCCCAGCAGCCCAGCAGCCCAGCAGCCCAGCAGCCCAGCAGCCCAGCAGCCCAGCAGCCCAGCAGCCCAGCAGCCCAGCAGCCCAGCAGCCCAGCAGCCCAGCAGCCCAGCAGCCCAGCAGCCCAGCAGCCCAACAGCCCAGCAGCCCAGCAGCCCAGCAGCAGCCCAGCAGCCCACAGCAGCCCAAGCAGCCCAGCAGCCCAGCAGCCCAGCACTAGCCCCAGCAGCCCACAGCCCAGCACCAGCAGCCCCAACACCCAGCAAGCCCAGCAGTCCCAGCAGACCCAGCAGCCCAGCAGCCCAGCAGCCCAGCAGTCCCAGCTCCCCAGAGCCCAGCAGCCCACAGCCCCAACAGCCCAGCAGCACCCAGCACCCAGCAGCCCAGCAGCCCAGCAGCCCAGCAGCCCAGCAGCCCAGCAGCCCAGCAGCCCAGCAGCCCAGCAGCCCAGCAGCCCAGCAGCCCAGCAGCCCAGCAGCCCAGCAGCCCAACAGCCCAGCAGCCCAGCAGCCCAGCAGCCCAGCAGCCCAGCAGCCCAGCAGCCCAGCAGCCCAACAGCCCAGCAGCCCAGCAGCCCAGCAGCCCAGCAGCCCAGCAGCCCAGCAGCCCAGCAGCCCAGCAGCCCAGCAGCCCAGCAGCCCAGCAGCCCATCAGCCCAGCAGCCCAGCAGCCCAGCAGCCCAGCAGCCCAGCAGCCCAGCAGCCCAGCAGCCCAGCAGCCCAGCAGCCCAGCAGCCCAGCAGCCCAGCAGCCCAGCAGCCCAGCAGCCCAGCAGCCCAGCAGCCCAGCAGCCCAGCAGCCCAACCACTGGTTGGACTCCAATCGAACCGCGAGACTCGAGAAACCCCGGGCAGAGACGACACCGGCACGCTCGGTCCGGGCCAGGCACCAGACCGAGCTCAATGAAGTGGGAGAGCGCCTCTCGGAGCGCGTGACGCTGGATCAACCTTTGCCTTTTTTCTTCTTCTTTTTTTTGGGGGGGGATCCTGAAAACAAAGTTTTGTTTTTTTTTTGGGGGGAGAGAATCCTGAAAACAAATGTGTTTGTTGTGTTTGTGCGCTTTTTTTTTGGCGGGGGGGGGGCGATCCTGAAACTTGGTTGCTCTGTTGTGTTTTCTTTGTTTTTTTTGGGGAGGGGGGATCCTGACTGAAACTTAATTGCTCTGTTGTTTTTGTTTTTGTTGTTTTTCCTTCTTTTCCGGGGGAGGGGGGGGGGGGGGGGGAGAATCCTGAAAAACAAGCATGTGGCGGTTCCTTGTGAGTTCTCGTTCAGATAAAAACTGGGCACCCGCAAGAAACTAGAAACCTGCATCGTACATCTTTGCCCTTGACGACCATGACAAAATGATGAACCAACAAATAAAGTTTGAATATTGTACGTTGCCAAAAGAGTGTAAGCATTCGGCTTCGACGTTGGCCGGGCCATGCCCTGTTGGCATTTTAGGCGGTCTTGCAGAAGCGGAATTACCCTCCAACAAAGGTCCCACCCTGGTCTTGTGGTGGTTGCAGTAGGGCCTCTGGAAACCTTTTTGCCCATCCTTGTAGGAAAGGACCGCGGGTTGCGGGCGCTCAACTGAAAGCCGCGCATCGCACGAAAAACTCGACGCTCCTTCGCGAGGCATCCGCGTTTTGCTGCAGCAGCTAGACCCCGAGGATGTTCCAGCCTGGGCTCTCAGGTCGGTCGCTTTAAGCAGAGGGATGTGTCTAAAACCCCCAAAGTGCTGCGGGATTTCCTTTCCTTGCTGTTTGCCAGCCAAAAAAGAGAGTGACGGAAAGAACCGGCCAGTTTCTTTCTGACTCCCCCTGCACTGCTCGTTTTGCTTGGTTCGCGGACTTCTTCACGCACATGCAACGCCCATGGGGCAAAACGGCGAACACCAAACCACAACTCTGGCAACCCGGGCGGGGGGGGGGGGGTGTCTTCGAGTTTCTATTCCCCAGTGGTATTGTTGCGCAAGGAAGAGATGAGCCTTCAAAGGTAAACTTTCATGTTAAGCGTTTAAACAAAGTTGAACCAGGTGTTGGTCAACCTTATGGACGTCCTGCTCGGCAGTCGACCGAATCTGACCTTTTCCAGTTGTTTTGCAAGATTCTTCTGATCTTGTATCGAACATGTGCGTTGTTCAAATAGGGATCCTGCTTTGGAGATCAGAAGGCTATCAACCACCTGAAGGGGCATGTGGGCACTCGCAAGCACTCTTGCAACTCCATTTGTTGGTTCCTCTTGCCCCTTTTGCGGGGTCAAGCAGAATGAGATCTAGGAGCCCGAAAGTGCCTGGGGTTGTCAAGCGTCGAGGCGTTGACTTTCGCTTTT